GGTTGCAGAATCCTGATCTGTTCATCATTTGGCTTCCAAAAACAATGGGAAACATTGGATTCACTTAATAACTACATGATTCACTTAATAACTGTGATAAAGAAGGTTGTAAAACTGGGCATGGCTCACTTAATTACCATGTTGCTTAGCAACAGAAATTCTGGTCCCAAGTTGTGGTTGTAAGTCAAGAACTACCTGTCAAGCAGATGCATTCAAACATCCTGCCAATTTCAGTTAGAGTTAACTTGCCTTGTTTTTTGTGACTTAGTGAATAATAAAAACCCTAACCATTTGGTGACAATATTTGGTGAATCATGAGGAAAAAATAAATTTAGCAACCCAGTAAAGAATGTTTTATCAACATACTGCCCTGTACATGTGTTGGGGGGGATACCTCCCACAATGCCCAGCAATGTATCTGGAGAACATAAATTTTGGGAAAGCTTGCCAATCTTTCAACCTCTTTTAATAACAGTGAAGCTACAATCTATGGAAATTCTCAGTTATCCAGGTCATGGTTGTCCCAAAGGTGCTTTTTTCAAAGACTTTGTTCCTTGAAGACGTTTTGCTTCTCATCCAAGAAGCAAAACTGAAGAACTGAAGAAGCTTTTCGGATGAGAAGCAAAACATTTTCAAGGGAAAAAAACAAAGTCCAGTCGCCATTTGGAAAAACTACCTTTGGGACAGTGAAGCCACAGGTTTAAGTTCAAACAAAGCTAAATCCCATTTAATGGATTTTATACCTTCCTTAACATACTAAAAAGCAGAGACATCACCCTGCCAACAAAAGTGCGTTTAGTCAAGGCCATGGTTTTCCCAGTTGCAATGTATGGATGCGAAAGTTGGACCATAAGAAAGGCTGAGCACCAAAGAATGGAGGCCTTTGAACTATGGTGCTGGAGAAGACTCCTGCGAGTCCCCTGGACTGCAAGGCGATCCAACCGGTCAGTCCTAGAGGAGATCAACCCCAACTGCTCTTTAGAAGGCCAGATCCTGAAGTTGAAACTCAAGTACTTTGGCCACCTAATGAGAAGGAAGGACTCACTGGAGAAGGGCCTAATGCTGGGAAAGATTGAGGGCAATAGAAGAAGGGGACAACAGAGAACGAGGTGGCTAGATGGAGTCACTGAAGCAGTAGGCGTGAACTTAAATGGACTCTAGAAGATGGTAGAGGACAGGAAGACCTGGAGGAACGTTGTCCATGGGGTCGCGATGGGTCGGACACGACTTCGCAATTAACAACAACAACAAATACCTTCCTTGGCTAAAAGGTTACAGCTAAACATAAGAGTCAAGTCAGTGAAAGCTGCTCGGAAATAAATAACCTTGGTTGCAAAGCATGCCCACCTCAGCCCCTCTGAAGTAATACCTGTTCAACCCACTAGCACCCTAGAGTACAAACATTCAGAGGATCCAGCTGCAAGAAATCCTAACCCTGAGATTGGCCCTGGCTCTCAAACTGGAATACAGGTAGTCCTCGACATACAACAGTTCACTTAGTGACCGTTCGAAGTTACTGAGTACGACACTGAAAAAAAGTGACTTATGACCATTTTTCACACTTAGGACCATTGCAGCGTCCCCGTGGTCAGGTGATTTACATTCGGATGCTTGGCAACTGGCTCATATTTATGACGGTTGCACATGTCCTGTGGTCAGCTGATCATCTTTTGCGACCTTCTGACAAGCAAAGTCACTTAACAACCGGGTTACCAATTTTAAAAACTGCAGGGATTCACTTAACAAACGTGGCAGGAAAGGTGGTAAAATGGGGCAAAAGTCACTTAACTGATGTCTGGAACAAGAGATGCAGTTGCAAAGGAAAGCACCACAAAAGCATTCCCCCCAACCTCTGCAGCTTCCCCATCAGCTCTTCCCTGCAGCTGGGAGAACATCCAGCCTTTCCAGATATCAGGGCCTCCAACAAGACCCAGATCAGGCCTCCAGCCTTTTTTTCCCCCCTTCCCCATCATCAAACCACGAATCGAGGTCTGGCGAAGGAGCAAGACCCAACCTGAATAATGACTGCTTCTCTCCATCCGCGCCGCCGCCGCCGCCGCCCTCCACCCCGACCCTCCAGAACCGAGGCGGGTTCCTGCCAAGAGACCCGCCGCCCCTCCGCAGCCGCCTCCTCCGCTCTTTGCCCCGGGAGAGATGCGGTACCTGGACAGGGAATCCGAGCTGGGCTGGCGGGTGGCCGGCGCCGCCGGCTTGGAGGCGAGGCTCTCGCAGCTGGAGCACTTCTCCATCTCGGGTCCGGAGCAGCGGGGCCGGCGGAGGGGCCCCACGGACGCGCGGGGGGCCAAGGCAGCGAGGGCGCCCGCCTGTCAAAGCAGCGGGGAGCCGAGAGGGGCCGAGGAAGCTGCCATCTTTCGCCCACAGTGCAGCGCGCAGGGACGGGAGGCTGCGACGCGCCCGACGGTCCCTCCTCCTCCTCCTCCTCCTCCAAGCCTTCGGGAGGCGGCTGCCCACCGCAGCATCTCCAGAGCGCCGGGAGAGGCCAGCGCCGGAGGCTTGCAGCGGGATGCTCGTCGGCAGCGCGCCTGGAGGGCTCGGCCGCGCGTGCCCGCCTCCCCGCTTCTTCTCCCTCTTAGGAGCGGCCGGCCTGCGCGCGACAGGCCGGGGCGGGGTGGGGCGGTCGGGTTTGCTTCTCTTCGCCCTATCGTAGCATCAACTGAATAATAATAATAATAATAATAATAATAATAATAATAATAATAATAATAATAATAATAATAATAATAATAATAATAATAATAATAGTAGTAGTAGTAGTAGAGTTGGAAGGGACCTAGGAGGTCTTCTAGTCCAACCCCCTGCTCAGACAGGAAACCCTATACCACTTCAGAAAATGATCAAGATTTGGTCTATATTTTTGGGGGTAGGATGGGAAAGAGCCATGCAGTTCCCCCCAATACCTGAACACACACAAAAGAAGAAATTCTTTGATGGCCCATTCTTCTTTTTTTAAAAAAAAAAAAAAAGTTGAGCACTGATGTACAAAAGCTTGTTTGCTTATTTATGTATTTAATTTAGATAGCCACCCACCTCAGATGTTATATCCTGTGATGTAAATATAACACAATAATAAGAGTGGGAAGGGACCTTATAATAATAATAATAATAAAGTTGGAAGGGACCTTGGAGGTCATCGAGTCCAACCCCCTGCCCAGGCAGGAACCCTACACCATTTCAGACAAACGGCTGTCCAGTCTCTTCTTTAAAACTTCAAGTGTTGGAGCATTCACTGCTTCTGGAGGCAGGTTGTTCCACTGGTTAATTGTTCTAACTGTCAGGAAGTTTCTCCTTAGTTCTAAGTTGCTTCTCTCCTTGATCAGTTTCCACCCGTTGCTTCTTGTCCTGCCCTCAGGTGCTTTGGAGAATAGCTTGACTCCCTCTTCTTTGTGGCAGCCCCTGACATATTCGAACACTGCTATCATGTCCCCCCTCGTCCTTCTCTTCGTTAAACTAGACATACCCAATTCCAGCAATCGTTCCTTATATGTTTTAGCCTCCAGTCCCCTAATCATCTTTGTTGCTCTTCTCTGGAGGTCTTCGAATCTAATCCAACTCCCTGCTCAAACAGGAGACCCTATACCCTTCCAGACAAGTATTTATTTATTTAGTGAACGTATCTAGACCGCCCATCTCACATACTATATGCTGTAATATATTTATTTTTTAAATTTTATTATGGAGCTGTCCACCTCACAGCTTGTAATGTAGTTATTTAGTGATTGAATCTAAAGAGCCAGCCATTTCATACATTAAGTGTTATAATAGGTTTAGTTATAGTAATGTACAGAACCACCCATCTCACATATTATATGCCAGTGGTGACGAACCTATGGCACGGGTGCCAGAGGCGGCACTCAGAGCCCTCTCTGTGGGCACGCGCACCGTCGCCCCAGTCCTAGGCCTTCAGCTGTGTTTTATAAAACCTTTTCGCTTTAAACCTCCGTCGCCATGTGCAAAAAAAAAAAAAGGTTCAATCAGTCAATTTCAACTTCCTGCAGGAAAAAAAAAGATCTTGCAAAGTTGGAATTGATTGATTGAACTTTTTAGTCCCACCCAGTCTGCCGTTATTACCGCAGGCACGCCCACCCAATGAGCCACGCCCAGCCACTTGGCCACACCCACCTGGCACTCGATGATGCATAAGTGGGTTTTGGGTTGCAGTTTGAGCACTCAGTCTCTAAAAGGTTCGCCATCACTGTTATATGCTGTAATAGAGCCAATGGCTTGTAAAGTATGTTTGGTGGTCGATGTTTCTGTTGAGTGGAAGAAAAAAAAAAACATTCCTTTGACTAGCCACACTTCTGTGAGAGCCAAAATAAATAATGCTGCCATTTCTGCTCTGCTCCATGAGGAGAAAATGGAATACTTAAATCAAAGATCTGAGAAATTATCTTTTAAGAGTTGCATAAAGAAATGTTTAGTTGTCTGTCTCAATGGCATGCTTGCAAATGTGAAATTATACACTAAATAAATATATAAATTCCAGGAGCTGAACATTTGTCATGGGAGTCCTATGTAGGGCTTTCAGATATTCAAAACATGTCATATGCATTATCTGACTACTATCTTATAAGGCAGTTGGCTATTACATGTAGTCCTCGACTTACGACAACAAATGGGACCAGAATTTCTGTTGCTGGGCAAAGCAGTGTTAACTGAGTTACACCTGAATTTGAAATTTGATCATATGACTATGTGGATGCTGCAACGGTCATAAGTCACTTATTTCAGTGCTATTGTAAATTCAAGCAGTCACTACATGAACGGTTATAAGTCGAGGACTATGTGTATTCTTACCCAAAGTGCTGATGAGACAGGCTAGAACTTTCTCATTCATAGTTTGGATTTCTTTAAGCATCACTTTTCAAATTGGCAATATCGTGTATGAATGCACAGAATCTTCTCCAGATTTGTTTCTTAAGCCAACAAGGCTTAGAAATTAAAGTGTTTTGCATATGCAGAGAATGTGTGAGGGGAAAGGATAACTCTCTCCCCTCCCCATCACATTGCTAAAACTGGTATGGAATGATACTACTAAGGAATTTCAAAAAGTGCACCATACAGTAGCAGTCTCCAACCTCTTTGGATATAGTGACCAGCAGTGTTAGCAGCAGTGGGGAAGAAGGGGATGGTTGCACACACGCAACCTAATCCCGCACATGAGCAAAGATATCTTTCCGTGTTCACCAGCTGCTTGTGCAGCCCTGTTCTCAACAAGCTGTGGACCGGTAGCAGGCTGCAGATCCCAGTTTGGGGATCTCTGCCATACAGGAATGATGGGAATCAATCAAGCCTGTATGCAAGATGGTCGAAATAGGGGAAAAGAGCTGTGAAAGACAGGAGCAATAATCTTTACATAGATTATAGGAGCATGATTGTATTGCTTTTTGCTTCTCGTTGCTAAGTTTGGAAAATGTCTTTATAAGAATGGGAAACTGCAAGATTTGTAACCACCCCTGTAGCCGAAACAATTTAAATGGTTGAATTGTTAATTGCAGAGTCATTTTCTGAGATGGACGGCTAGAAATTAAATAAATCAATCAATAAATTATTCACATGTTGCTACAATAATCTCATAATGAGGATTGATAGCTCCTTAAGAACAAACAAATTTGTTCTGGAATAATTTTTTTTTATGCATCTGACAAAGTGAACTTTGCTGCTCAAGTAGAAGTTGGTAAAATTGTGGTGCAAAAAAAAAAAGAATTGATGGTATTTTGTCAGAACTGATTAACATGGCTACTGGTTGGAAAGCTGTTATCTAACTCAAAAGATAATTTTGAGAATGCTATTCATGTGACCAGCCAGAGAGAGTTGGGCATTTCCTGGTATTCATCCTCTGTATTATGGAACAGGAAAAAGAGGACAAGAAGTTCTAAATTGACCCTAGCCTTGAAAATGCTGGGATATGTTTATGAGTTTCCCCCCTAAGTTTATTTTTTGAAAAGTAATATAGAAAAGAAAAAAAAAACATAAAAACATGCACAATAATGAACAAAACGAAAAAAGTAATATTTTATTTATTTAGAGAACCAGTTTGATCTAGTGCAGGGGTCTTCAAACTTGGCCCTTTTATGACTTGTGGACTTCAATTCCCAGAATTCCTCAGCCAAGCACACTGGCTGAGGAATTCTGGGAGTTGAAGTCCACAAGTCATAAATGGGCCAAGTTTGAAGACCCCTGAACTAGTGGTTAAGGCACCATGCTAGAAAATGGGAGGCCATGAGTTCAAGTCCCAATTTAGTCATGAAAACCAGCTGGGTGACTTGGGCCAGTCACTCTCTTGGAAACCAACCCACCTCACAGGGTTGTTGTTGTGGGGAAAAAAGGAGGAGGAAGATGCGCTGGATATGTTCGTCGCCTTGAGTATTTATAAAATTAATAAATGCAGGATACAAACGAATGAATAAATAAAATGTGCCTTTGAATCATGGCCCTTCTATACCTTTTGCTCTGAATTCATGAGGAATACATACAGGTAGTCCTCGGCTTACGACCACAATTGAGCCCAAAATTTCTGTTATTAACTCAGTTGGTTGTTAAGTGAATTTTGCCCCATTTTACCTTTCTTGCCACAATTGCTAAGTGACTCACTGCAGCTGTTAAGTTATTAACTG